TGCCACCGACACGGCAACGTGAGAGGACAGCACGGAACACGGGAGATACTTTGGGGTTCCCCCAGCGCCACGAGGTGATCAGTTTAGCCGGCTTAATCAGCAGGGTATGTCTGTGGCAGAGTTTGAGGCCACTTTTACTAGTTTGTCCAGGTTTGCACCTGAGTTGGTGGCGTCCGAAGAACGCCGTTGCTATGAGTTTGAGCGGAAGTTGAGGCGGGGCCTCAAGTTGAGAGTTGGTGGGTCTTACATCCGAGAGTATAGACATTTAGTGGATACTGTAGCTCATATGGAGCTTATGATGCAGGAGGAGGATGAGGGACAGAGAGGTTCTAAGAGGAGCCAAGATGGCCAGGGTGATGGCAGGAGGCAGAGGGGTTCTAACCCTCAGCAGTCGCAGGGTAGTGTTGCTAGATCGACCTTTCCAGTGCCGAGTGCAGGCTCCGGGAGAGGTAGTCAGGGGAATTTTACCTGTTACAAGTGTGGCCAGCTGGGTCACAAAGTTTCGGTTTGCCCGCAGAAGGGAGGGGGTCAGCGAGCTGCTTCTTCTTCAGCTAGACCCCAGGGCCAGAGTCAGGGCAGGGGCCAGCCTTTGTCTTGTTATCAGTGTGGTCAGCCTGGGCACCTGAAGAGGTATTGCCCGCAGTTGAGTGCTACTTCGGGAGCGTCTGGTTCTAGGCAGACGCAGGGTTTTCAGCCAGCTCAGTCTGTGCAGGCCTCGAGGGCCAATCCGGGAGCTTCGTCATCCCAGTCTGTGCAGCAGTCTTTTGCTCCGAGGGGTGAGCAGGTAGATCAGGGGCCTACAGGGCGCGTGTATGCTGTTACCGCGTCGGATTTAGTACCGGCTCCATCAGTAGTGAGAGGTACGTTTCTGTTTTACAACTCGGTTGCCAGTGTGTTGATTGACACGGGTGCATCTCATTCTTTTGTATCTGCTGCATTTGCATCTGTTTTGGAATTGGAGTTAGCACAGTTAGCATCTCCTATTTGTGTAGTGTCACCTCTTGGGGGTGAACTGATCTTGAAACAAGGTGTTAGAGGTTGTGATATAGAGGTCGCCGACCATAGGCTTCCTTTTCCGTTTGTTGTCATGCCCATGAAGGGCTTTGATGTTATTTTGGGTATGGACTGGCTATCGTCATACCGGGCTGTTATCGATTGCTACCACCAGAGGGTCACGTTATGTACCTTGAGCGGGGAGTGGTTCCATTTCTTAGGAGACTGGGTTGGTAGTGTTTTGCCACTGGGGTATGATTCGCGAGGGCGAAGTGAGCTTAGTGGTCTACTTGCTAGCTTTGAGAGTGGTGAGTGTGGTGAGACCCATCTTGTTTTGCCGAGGGTGGTTTGTGAATATTCGGATGTCTTTCCCGAGGACCTTGTTAGTTTGCCACCTCACCAAGAGATAGAGTTCTCTATTGATCTAGTGTCCGGCACGGCGCCGATTTCTATGGCACCTTACCGTCCCAGCCGAGTTGAGTAAGTTGAAGATTCAACTCCAGGAGTTGCTGGATAAGGGCTTCATTCGCCCTAGTGTTTCGCCGTGGGGAGCACCGACCCACTTTGCTAAAAAGAAAGATGGCGCCTTAAGATTGTGTATCGACTACCGAAAATTGAATCAGGTTACGATCAAGAATAAGTACCCTATGCCCCGTATAGATGATTTGTTTGACTAGTTGAAGGGTTCCCGCTGTTTCTCTAAGATAGACTTGAGATCGGGCTATCATCAGTTGAGGGTCAGGGAGGAGGATATTCCGAAGACGGCATTCCGTACACGGTATGGCCATTATGAGTTTCAGGTGATGCCATTTGGGCTTACCAACGCACCGGCAGTCTTTATGGACTTGATGAACCGGATCTTCCGGGAATTCTTAGATCGATTTGTAGTCGTTTTCGTGGACGACATTCTTATCTATTCGCCTTCTGAGGAGAAGCACGACGAACATTTGAGAATGGTGCTTGAGTTGCTTAGAGCCCATAGGCTATATGCAAAGTTTGGGAAGTGTGAGTTCTGGCTAGGAGGAGTCAAGTTCTTAGGCCATGTGATTTCCAAGGAAGGGGTGTCTGTTGATACATCCAAGACTGAGGCAGTGCGGGATTGGGCACAGCCTAAGAGTGTGTTTGAGATCTGCAATTTTCTGGGATTAGCTGGGTATTACCGTCGGTTTGTGAAAGATTTCTCCAGGCTAGCTTCGTCGTTGACTAGATTGACGCGAAAAGGGGTCAAGTTTGTATGGAGTGAGACTTGTGAAAATTCGTTCCAAGAGTTGAAGGTGAGATTGACCACCGCTCCGGTTTTGATTATTCCAAAGAGAGGGTTGGGTTATGCGGTTTATTGTGATGCCTCACGAGAGGGTTTGGGTTATGTGTTGATGCAAGAGGGGAAAGTGGTAGCTTATGGCTCACGTTAGTTGAAAATACACGAGAAGAACTACCCTACACATGACCTGGAGTTAGCAGCAGTGATCTTTGTCTTGAAGATTTGGAGACACTACCTTTATGGTGAGAGGTTCGAGGTGTTCTCAGACCACAAGAGTTTGAAGTATCTGTTTACACAGAGAGACTTGAATTTGAGGCAGAGGAGATGGATGGAGTGCATTGAGGACTATGATTTTGAGTTGCACTATCACCCGGGGAAGGCCAATATTGTGGCCGATGCCCTTAGTAGGAAATCTTTTAGTGATGTAGCTTGTATAGCCATCCGAGAATGGGAGATGTTGGGTGCACTTGGCGAGTTTGATTTGCACTTGGGCGAATCTGTTGAGACTGCGGCCTTGTTTTCTGTTGTTGCACAACCTACACTTGTGACTCAAGTGTTAGAGGCACGGAGGGGTGACCTTGAGGTAGAATCCCTCCGAGAGAAGATCTCAAATGGAAAGGCTGAGAAGGGTTTGACGGTGTATCCCGACCTGAGTATGAGATACTGAGACAGTCTGTGTGTGCCGGAGTCCTGCCGAGAGGAAGTACTCCGAGAGTTCCATCATTCACGTCTTGCGGTGCATCCGGGAGGCACTAAGATGTATCGCTTATTGACAACTGAAGGGACACGTGACATGTTTGGATTGGAGCGTATTTAGGTGGGGTGGGGCCACTTTGGGAATCCTATGTATACACACTCGTGGGGTTAGCGTACTCTGTTTACTCCTCCGGATAGGGGATCCGGGGGTGCTGCTGCGCTGTGGGCCGAAACGACGTCGTTTCATGCATATTCAACCCAAAAAAAAAAGGAAGGAAAGTTTGGTTTTTTGGAAGCTTGAACCCGGACAAGTTGAAAAAGCAACAGAGACCTCAACAACTATACTATTTAGGCACCGTTTGGGAAGCCAAAGCTGGGCTGTTGAAAAAAAAAATTAAAAACATTTTTTTGGTTTTTGTTAAAATATTTTATAAAAATAAATTCAAACTCTATTTATAAAAATATTTTTAAAAATTTTAATATTTTTGTTATGTATTTAGTTATGATTTGAGTGTAGAGTTGTAAAAGTAGTATGGAGTTTCAAGTTATGTATTTGGTTATGAATTGTAAAAATAATTTACTACTAAAATTTTATTTTATGTGTTTGGTTACGATTTGAGTGTAGAGTTGTTTTTAAATTAAAAATATTAACATTTTAAATTATTTAAATTTTTTGAATATTTAAATTATTTAAATTTTTACGATTTAAATTTTTTGAATATTTATTTTAATTTTTTACTTATTAAATTTTTTAGATTATTTAAATTATTTAAATATTTATGATTTAAAATTTTTGAATATTTATTTTGAAAACAAATTATTTCCTTTGTAGTATTTTCAATTTTAAAATTGATTAATGTTATTTTCTGTTAATAATAAATTTTTTTTAATTGAATTTTAATATTTTGATATTTTAGTTGTAAATATTTTGATTTTCAAAATATTTTTAATATTTTGATTTTAGGAATATTCTTAATATTCTTAATATTTTAATTTTCGGAATATTTTTAATATTTTAATCTTCTAAATAATTTTAAAATATTTTTAATATTTATACAAGCCTAAAAAATAAATTGACAGAAAAATTAATTGACATAGAAGTTATTTGAAAAAAAAGTTATTCAAAAAAATTACTTAAAAACAATTAATTGAAAAAAAAATCATTTTTTTATTTGAGTATTTTAAAAATAATTTGGTTATGACTGTTGATAAAAATATGAATATCGAGTTATGAGTTATATGTTTAATTATTAATTATAGATTGAATTAAGTTTTGAAAATTCATCACCAAACAAATTTTTTTATTTCACTTATTAAATCAAACTTTCAAAACTCAATTTTACATACAATTCGACACTCCATTCAAAAATCATAACTAAATAAATTTTTTACACTCAAATCATAATTACACAACTCACAATATATCTTATACTCTCAAATTATATTTATAAAACTGTATCAGCCGCAACCCAAAAATGTTTACAAAACCCATAAACATAGAGAGGGGGGGAGAGAATGAGAGGTAGACAATTAGAGAGAGAGAGAGAGAGAGAGAGAGAGAACCCATAAACCCAAAGAAAAAGGAAAAAAAGGTGTGAGCTTGAGCTTTGTTCAATACAGTAATTGAATATTTGTGTTGAGAGAGAGAGAGAGAGAGACGGAGAGATTTTTTTTTAGAGATTATGGATCCAAAACCAAAATCCCAGAGAGAGAATCAAAGGTAGACAATTAGAGAGAGAGCCCAAAGAAAAGCAAAAAAAGGGGTGAGCTTGAGCTTTGTTCAATACAGGAATTCAAAGAGGAAGATTTGGTTTTAGAGAGAGAAACTGAGTGATACAGTTATGAATCCATTCCGGGGTAGTTAAACTTTGTGGGTTGTTTTTTGGAGCTTCATTTGGGTTCCATATCAATGGATTCACCACCACCAGCAGAGGAGCTTCTGAAGAAGATCGAAAAGCTCGAAGTCGGCCACGCTCACCTCACACAAGAGATGTCAAAACTAATGATTTCAAGCGATCGCAAATCGGACCCACAAAATGAACGACAACCCATTGATGGAGATGCTGGTGGGGGCCACCAGAGGTCCCACTCGGTGTCGCCGCAACGGTCGGCGGCGCCGCCGAGACGGAGAGGAGGCGGCGGCGGCGGAGGGTTCGATGGTGGTGCTGCGGCGGTGAGGAAGAGGGGTTCGGCGTCGGTTCGGCATTCGTCGCCGTTGCAGAGGGAGAACAGGAGCGGTGGGGGTGGCGGTGGCACATTTAACCCGGCGGCCTCCTCCGCCGGCGGCGGTGGTGGGCGGACGGCAGTCAAGTTTACCGATAGGCAGTGTATGAATATATTGCAGTCCATGGGTCAGTCAGTTCATATATTTGATCTTAACGGTCGCATAATCTACTGGTGAGTAGTAACTCAATTAAATTGTGCATTCCTATTTTTGGCTAATTTTTGGTGCTCATTTTCTTGATCTATTCACATGGGTTTAACTGTTTTTTTAGTTTTCTGTTGCTTTGCTTCATTGTGTCGGGTTTGGGTAATTGTAGTTTGGTGGTGTCTCTATGGATTGAGATTGTTGTTGAAACACAAACATTGAACCATTGAAACTTGTAATCATGCAATTTGTTTTGGTTGTCGAATTTAATGTTGGCCTTCGTCTTTGTTGTGAGGATTTGTATTTTTATTAGTCCGAGGCCCGGAGTGTTGAAGGTATTTATTGTATTTTTCGGCTTGGGTTTTCAGTGTGAGAGTGTGAAAATGTTGTAGAATGGTTGAGTTCAGAGGTTTATAGCCCTGCAATGCGTTGTCAATTTGATCTTCTCCCCTCCGTGGAAGTGGCAGAGGGCCAAGGCCGCTAGGCTGAGGCCTGGAGTGTTGGAGGTATTTATTTTGGCTAGGGTTTGAGTTGAGAGGTTTATGTAATATTTATTGCGCATAGTGGATTTGATTCTCTCTCATCTATGAACATAGGTACATTGTCAAACCGCGTATATCTAATGTTTTGTGCGTTTGATTGTTTCTCTTTACTGATTTTGTGATTGGAACCATTTGATTTCTGCACAACAGCCTTGTTAAATTGATTGAAATCCCAATCATTTGCCCATTTGGTGCATATTTGCAGGAATCGAGCTGCAGAACACCTTTATGGTTATTCTGCAACAGAAGCTCTCGGTCAGGATGCCATTGAGCTCCTAACATATGCCCAAGATTTCGACGTGGCTAATAACATAGTACAACGCGTGGCAATGGGGGAGAGCTGGACGGGGCAATTTCCTGTTAAGAACAAGAAGGGGGATAGGTTTCTAATTGTTACAACCAACACCCCCTTTCATGATGATGATGGCACGTTCATTGGGATTATTTGTGTATCAAGTGATGCACGCCTCTTTCAAGACACGAGGGCTGCATTGTCGGGTAAAACACATTCGGAGGCAGATTCAAGCTTTAAAAGCATTGCTTCAGCCAAACTTGGCCTTGATCCTCAGCAACCTCTCCAAGTTGCAATTGCATCGAAAATATCAAATTTGGTTAGTGTCACAGTTTTCATGTCTCTATGGTTAAATTTTAGTTTACCCTATTTATGATTGGTAGAAGCATCAAAACAGGCTTTCAAGGTGGGCAACAAGGTTAAGTCAAAAATGAGGACTGGAGAGAACAGCACAGATCGTGAAGGTCGGAGTGGAGATAGTCATCATTCCGATCATGGTTTCTCGGATGTGGCTTTTTCCGATCATAGGGAGGATGCAACTTCAAGTGGAGCTAGCACGCCCAGAGAAGATGTAATGCAATCTCCATTTGGGGTATTTTCTCAAGTTTCACCGGACGAGTACTCCCCAGGAAAACCCTCGAGGGATTCTGGTGATGAGAGTGAAGGAGGAAAACCCAGAATCCATAAAATCATTTCCTCAAAGGCAGAGGCATGGATTGGTAAGAAAGGAATAGCATGGCCGTGGAAAGGAAATGAGCGTGAAGGGTCTGAGGCAAAGACAACTCGTTTTGCTTGGCCTTGGTTGCACGATGATCATGAGAATGACTTGGGTCATCAGAAGAGTTCTTTTTCAGGTGTGGAACCAGAAAGTCAAGTGGCTGAGAATATTCGCCCAACCAATAATGAGGCTTCCGGGTCATGGTCATCCTCATTTAATGTTAACAGCACAAGTAGCGCAAGTAGCTGTGGAAGTACTAATAGTAGTGCTGTTAATAAAGTTGATATGGACACTGATTGCTTGGATTATGAAATCTCGTGGGAGGACTTGACAATCGGGGAGCAAATTGGGCAAGGTAATCTTTCGATTTAACATCATTATGTGTTGATTGTATTTAATTTTTCACCCCGCTTTCATTGAGTGGAATTGCTTCCATGTTATTGATGTCAATATTCTTGTAGACTTACAAAACTGTATTTACGTTGGATTAATAGTAAATCTATTGCTTATGTTTGTTGCTATTGTTGTTTGTTTCATGGAGGAATCAACATGCTTATAAACTCAGGCCAAGTTTGGCATGTCACAAAAAAGATAAAAAGTCAAAAAGTTACTCAAAAAGTTAAAAAGCGATCACTATTCACAAAAAAAAAATTTAAAAAATTAATTTTATACACAATTACAACACATCAATCTGATAGCCTCAGATCTATGCTGCGTTGTGTAACAAAAATTGCACAGTTGGGGTGCAATTTTGACACACTGTTGTTCGGCCTGTGGAGGTCCATCATGGGTCCCGTTTTAATAATCTGAACCGTTCAATGTGTAGAACTCGTCGAGTACTATATGTCTATAAAAAATCACATTAATCGGATATCGATAACTATATGATTAAATCAGTTTTATATAAAAAAAAATAAAGAGATTTATTATTAACGGTTGGAAAAAAACAAATATGATCAAATAACTATCGATATCCGATCAACGTAATTTTTTACAGGCATAGAGTACTCAACGAGTTCTACACATTACACGGTTCGGATAACCAAAACGGATTCAAAAAATAAGCCCCATAAATTAAACTGGACGAGTCCAGTCTTGATCACAACTTGAAATAGGCTGAAACCATTTTTTTATGAGGTGAATTTTTCGTTAATAGGAGAGAATTGTATTTTATTTTATAATTGCTTTCTATATCTTTCCCATCAATAAGCAATGATGGATAACTCTCAACTTTTAAGGGAAAAATCTTTTTAAAATAAAGATATTTTAAATTTGTCGTTGAACATTTTTTTATTTTTTTTGAAATTTTAATATCCATGTTGGTAAAATATATATATTATATTTGAAATATTAAATAATATTTTAAGTCTTGTCATATATATATATATATATATTAGTGATAACCCGTGGCTGAATGTACTACCAACAAAACTTAAACACTTAATAAGCATACATTTTAGTTTTATTACACGACTCTTTGAAAAAAAAACACTTTTAAAATTTTCTATTTATAACTCAACCATAAACATTTCGTATCCATTATACATTTGATATCAAAAAATGGTACGAAAACCTCAATAGACAAAAAAACTAAAAATTAAGCAACAAACAATACACATCAGTCAGTGTTCTGCTATCTCAAAAAATAAAAATTAAACAACAAACAAAGAACAACAGCTAATGCTTTAGCATTTCAAAAAAATTAAATTTAAAATTTAAAGTCAAACCTTATCCCAAGAAAAGAAAAAAAAGAAAAAGAAAAAAAAATATTTGAGACTTTCCGAACTATGTATGTATACAATAAATGAGTAAAAATATGTAGTTTTACAAAGAGTGTAGCTAGGGTTTTCCTGAAATTCACTTTAAAAAAATTCTCAATATCTTTAAACTTGTTTCTTACTGAGAGGGTAATTTATAAAGAAAATTAGGCCGAGCTGGACAATGGGCCGTTATGGGCCACAGTACGAAGGACTGAGTAAAAATGGCCATGAAGTTATTCCGGTCCAAATGAGACTTGAAGTTATTCCGGTCCCAAAGAACTACGATTAGCTCGGTCACCATACTAAAAGTTATACCGGTCATGGCGTGGTGGTATTAGATCGGTCAGAACCATGCTAATTGTTAGCTTGGTCCAATCATGATGTGGTTTGTACAGGAAGAACCGAGGTAGAGTTATCCCGGTCTGATCTGCGGCTTAGCATAGCTATGCTTACCTCGGTCATATTGGAGTCCGACCATGGAAAAACCATCTCACTTGGTTTAAGCAGTGAGGGGGGTGTTGAAGGATAAGCATTATCTTTCAGGTGTGTGAATTCAAGGAGGACTCTACATAGAGGAGTAAGAGTCCTACTAGGATTATGCCACGCGAAACCTATAAAAGCTCACAACATCACCTTTGGAGAGGTAACACACAACTTTGACTCTCGAATACACAAAGCTTTTGTCTATTTGTCTATTTGTCTATTTTGCTGACTTAGGCATCGGAGAGGTATCCGGCACACACCCGCCGGCTAACTCACGTTTGTGTTTTCAGGGAGTAAAGCGACATCGTACGGAGGAGCTCATACTTGATCAACAGGATTACACGGGAAGAATATTTCGTGCCCGTACAGTTACCAAAATTCACTTTTTAAGTAGCCGTTGTATCAATTTGTTTGTATCCCTAATGAAGAGCTTAAACTCACATTATTACATCCCATCAGAGCAATTTTGTCATAATTTTCCTTGTAAACTCTATATTTTTTTCAATCCAATTTTACAAAAGTTCATATGTCAATTGATTGAAACTGTTTGAAAAGTTATGTAATTAACATAAATAAACTTATTAATAAATTATACTATTTTCTAAAAAGTGAGATGATCCACAGAGAACACTACAACAAAGTTCAGGATAAACAATGCTTGTGATGGAATCTAGCCTATCTTTGGAGAGAATGATACTTATACGATCAAAAGATGTGCATCTAGATAGTGCCACATATAGAGTTGTCCATGACTAAACACTGATATACGCAAATTAAACCCAAGTGAATGACTCATGCCTAAAGGCACTCCAACCAAAACCAACGATCTCGTTCTAATAATAAGCAAATTAAGAAATAAATGCATGAAAAATTCAAATGATTCAACCATTATATCTAATTTAATGGAATGAATTCCTCAAGATTCTATGAAATTTATAATTATACAGGTTATAACCTATACGAATCAATATTAATAAAATTTCTCTATAACCATTTAAGAATTTGACAAATTCAAACCAGTAAAATTGGAGTGTAGAAAATTTAAGATACTACAGAATAATAATTAAACAAAAAATTATTCATACCTATATATGACACTCTTAAATTGAACATTGTTATTGTGGGGATGTACTTTTAGGGTTATGTCACGTAGCCGAGGTGCCGCCAAGGTGTTGGCAGAGGTGCCTCGTAGACGAGTCAGATTGCCGAGGTAATTATGTCATTGCCAAGATCTAGTGCGGTAATACTGGAATCCAAGATATTTGGATAGATGACAAGAGTCCTAGATAAGTGATGTGCTTAGCTCGAATAGGGAAGAGGCTTTTAAGGAGTTCATCCATATCTAACCAAGAGTCCAAGATGACCATTGTGCTTGAGTCTTATGAAATGAGACTTCTAGGTGATGAGTGCACTGTTAGCTATAAAAGTGAAGTACCCCCGTGGGTCTAAGGTATGTTTTTACTTGTGCATTGAATACTTGTTTGATATCTTTGAGAGATAAGTTTGACAGACCTGATCATCAGAGTGCCCTCGGGTGTATGAGTCGCTGTGGTATTCTTGTCATCTTGTTGGTTGGTGCTTGGTTTAATCTATTCTGCAGGGTGCTCTCCAACTAAGTTCCCTGTTTAGTTGTGACGTCAAAAATCAACACCCACAATTTGGCGCCGTCTGTGGGAACTTAACGCTGGGCAAGATGTGAGAGTCAAGGATGACATGCACAGTGAGGAAGAGGAGTACATAGATCCCAATTCCATAGTGGGAAACAATGGCGAAGATGTGTTGGAAGGCGAACAACACTGCAAAAGGTCATAATGGCCCGAGAGGAGGCAACCGAGAAGAATACTTCAACGAAAGTGACTGCCAGGTATAGAAGGAAAGATATCTGAGGAGAGACAATGAGCAGAAGGACTTGGCGAACAAGTTAACCAATCTGCAAACCCTAGTGAACTTTATGATGCAAATGAAGGTGATGCAACTGGCGTTACCGTTACTGAAAACACCAACTCTTACAGGAAATGCCAAAGCTCAGAAAGAAGGACTTGCCACAGTGCCAACAATCCCCTAGCATGAAAAGAGACCAAGGAATTTACTTGGATGATGCCAGCAAAGAGCCCGCTGACAAGAGCTAGGAACGCTTGAAAAAGGTTTCGGTAAAGGAATATGACGAATAATGATTCTTTTTCCTTGGCTCGGGCTTAGCTAAGGAAGAAGAAATAAAATTGGAAGCTTTGGACAGAATTACAGTAGGAGGAGTCCCAAAGAACCTTGAGGACAAAGGGAACCTAGATCAAGGGATCTCGGCAGGTCAATAGGTTGGGTCTCTACTTTGATGATGTGGCAGATGTGGAGAAGTACAAAATGACATACCCTAACATAGAAAGCAGTGCGCCAAAGAGGTTGAAGTGGACTGATAGCTGAGCTCCCAGACGATTAAAGGAAGACTTCAGAGATTACTTGCAAAAGAAGAGACAGGACACCGAAATCACATCCATCGTCCAGCCAAAAACACTGTTCTCAGCAGAGTTGGATGCATTTGAGGCCCCGAAGAGGTTCAAGATATAGAGGTTCCAAATCTACCATGGTAAGTTAGACCTAAACTTCCATGTTGGTTTATATTTGAATGTGATGGCTCTGTGGAGTGGGAGTGAATAGTTATTGTGCAAGATGTTTCCATTGACATTTGGGGAAATAGAGTCGGACTAGTTCCACAAATTGTCGAAATGATGTGTAAAGGACTGGGAAAGCTTGGTCGAGATGCTTGTGGCTAGGCTTGTTACAAATAGATTATAGTCACTGAAGGTAGATTCTCTATTGGCTTTGAAGACAAATAATGGTGAAGGCCTTAGGGCTTACACCAAGAGATAGCACGAGGTTTATAATTGGATCTCAGCGTGTAACCAGGAACTTGTAGTCGTATCTTTTAAGAACGACTTGGAAGACGATTGCCTACTTTGGTAATCCTTTACAAAGACCCTCTCTGAGAACATAAAAGATCTCATAGCAAGGATTGAGAAGTATACAAGGGCAGAGGAAGACAGGAAAGAGAAAAAGACAGGTGTAGTAAAGCAGGGGAGAAGAAATGACTCGCCGAAGCGTAGCCGAGGAAATAATGGTGCCGACAAGCCAGAACTAAGATTGAAGGCT